GCCTACTATCTCTCTCTTCCCTCCTCTCTCTCTCTCTCCGTCCCTCTCTCTCCCTCCCCTCCTTTCCTCCCCCACCCCTCCCTCTCTCTCTCTTACGCTGAGGTCACATTTCCAAACCGGGGCCCAGTCGGGAAGGATTATGGAGCGAAAAGTGTGATATAGAAGACAACAAAGTACAGTTGAAAAAATGAATAATGGGAACTATTTGTGTATAATATTGTTGATTTTTCGTTAATCGAAACAGTCTGGTCGGGGCCCCGATTTGGAAATGTTACGTCAGCATAACACACATACACACACATGCATAGCTGTGAGTATCAAGAGCGTACGAACCATTTGACTGGCATGATCCACTGTACAGGAGCACGTCATCAATAGCGACATCTCCTCTCCACCCAATGCCGACCTCCCCTTCAAAGATGATCTAGAAAAATATCAAACAGCTTGTCAGAACTTTTAACAAAGGGCAAAATAAGAGCGTGTATACACATGTTGAGAACCACAACGAATTAACTGCATGCATTTTTTTTATTCCAACATGTAATCACAAGACGTGGCGACGGCAAACTCAAGTTTTTTAAACTTATTTTTACGCTGCTACCAGAGTAACACGGAGAAAAATACAATACGTGAGGAAAGTCGTGTAAAGTGCCTTTCCCAAGGGCAAAAGACCGGTGGCATGCCAGGGTTCGAACCCTGGACCTCTCTGTTCCGAGACGAACACTCTACCGTTATGCCACACGACCCCACTGATACTGCAGTGTTTTGAGAGTAATCAACGACTTGTTCTCCAAACCTGGTCTTGGTTCATGGTCACGTCGATTTTGGTGTCATGCCACATGTTTCCTTGTGACGTATTCCTCATGAAGACGAGATCATTCCCGACCAGGACGCGCAGTGCTCCGATGCTGTCCCCGTACACGTGGTAGGCGAACTGCAGACAGTGCGTGCCGTACGCATCGAAGACCGGGCTCCAAAGACGGGCAATGTCTCCTCTTTGACGAGGCGAAGACGCCTCGATGTACATGTAGTACCCTGTCGGCGTTATTCAACGGGATTTATCAATGAAAGACTTGGTGTTACATCATACAGCAATGACAATAAAATGATATATATGAGCCAAATATGACATCTTCAGCATGTTGCCATCTTTGGAATTTGCCGGCAAAGCATTTTGCCATTTTGAAGCAATAAGTCAGAATTACAGATAATTATAATAGTTTTTGTCTGTGTTTTTATAAGACGTGTAAAAGAAGATTAAGCTATTTGTGATGCGCGGCTATTGGACCGGAAGGTATGACGTCATCACCCACAATGCAACACCAGCATGACGTCATTCTGTCCTCGGTCAGGCCAGGGGCCTCAGACCGCGTCGGGAGCCGAAAGCGGCCCTCCCACCCAACCCACGACGGGATTTGCTTGGGGTGGGAATGGGCGCCTGCTTTAGAGCTGTGGCCTCAGCGCATAGTCAACTTTTGGCTTCAGACGACTATTTCCGCATAACTTCATACCGGAGGTCCATGGCCGCGCATTGCAAAAAGGATACTATTCTAGACATAGAGTGCGTACACACTGTTTTAGGAGCATATCTAAGCAAACTAAACTTAAGCACGCCAAACAAAATAAAACTGAACGAAACGTTGAAACATCTACCGACCGTTTCCCGAAGTGTGGTCAAAGCTGGGGCCTGTCTCAGAGGAAGGCGTTCTCCCCGTCCTGCGCCTCCACAGGAAGTCTGCACTGGAGTCGCTGGTGAAGTTACACGTGTTTACGTCAAAGTCACAGGCGATCAGGGTCCGGTCCGGCCCTGCAACAAAAAAAGCAACATGTTCTTTAGTCTTCCATACATCAAGTGGACCATATGTCCATTGATACGTACCAGTGTTTTCTTCACGAACAGCAAAACTGTAAAATGATTTCAGAGACTAGAAGACAGCCAGCGCCCGCAGTTTCCAACACTTCCGTCCATTTAGGGAACCTGTGTGACCCAGGTAACATAATGACCTTTTCAGAGCTAAGGAAAGATTTTAAATCTTCTCTAAAAGTTTTAATCGTGTGCAACAGTTTAATCATTTACACACAAAAGACTAGCACACTCCTTAGACCTTACCCTGGCACTCGACGCCAACGTCTTCATGGTGGCCGCAGTTCTCCACCCCCCAGCCTCGGTGCTGACAGAACTGGAGAGACGGCTCTTTGCCGGTACAGGACACGTCGTCCATCCAGATCGGCCCGGTACCCTGGCCGTAGTGCGCCCCTCCTGACCAGCTGATGTAGTCGACGAAGCCGAGCTCCTGGCAGACCACCCTGGCCTCGTTCGGACCAAAGAAGTCGTCACAGACGCTTCCCCACGTCCCGTTCACGAAAACCTCGATCCTCCCGTAGTTCGGGCCTCCGTGGACCAGCCTCACGCTGAAACCTCGAAAGAAGACGTGGATGTTAGATGTACCATTGTAAACTTGTTATTACTATAAAGTGTGTCGGCACAGCTCTGTCAACACTGGACTACCAAACACGTAAACTATACGAATGTGTTCTGGTGTTCAAAATGGTCATCTTAAACTTTTCTCTGTCATAGATTCTGAAAACTCTCTTGAACCTTCTAAGTGATAAGTTTCTAACAAACTTTCCTGTGGCTTTGTCCTAACAAGATTAAACGAAAATAAGCTGCTGTATGCTGTCTACTTACTTGAAAATGTGATGATGCCGTTGGGAGGGAACAAGGTGGTGGGTGGCGGCGTCGTTGTGACCATTTCAGTTGTAGTCATTGGCGCATCTACGAATACGGCACATAAACCATAGGTTAGTCATGTTTCTGACGGTCGTAGTGAATGGTAACATGCAATATCACTTAGCATCCAACTCTACTCTATTCTATTCTATTTTATTGCAGGAGAATTAAGTTTAGGACAATCTTGAATAAGGGTTTGGTGCCAAGATGGATAATGTACTCAATCACCGAATCAGTGATTTTTAGTCAGTAGCATTTTAGTAGCCTGGACTCTAGCCTTGGTAGCTTTGGTCCTCTGCCAACGTCGCTACCCCATACCAACGACAGGGAGCGGGAAAAAGCTAACATAGTTGGACTCATGTCAGACTCAAGGTCATGTTTCTTTCTCTACGCACCGCAGATGATGCCGATGTCCTCACTGTGGTCACAGTTGTGGCTGCCCCACTCCCCGATGTCGCACTTGTGAAGAGACGTCTCGTTCCCGACACACTTCACGTCGTCCATCCAGATCGGACCGGTGCCTTGTCCGTAGTGGGCGGTGGGCTGGGAGGCCAGGGCGCCGGTGAACCCGAGCTGTCGGCACGCTACGTTAGCCTCCACCGGCCCGAAGTTGTCGTCGCACACGGTACCCCACT